TAGATAGATAGACACATAGATAGAGTGAAAGGACACCAGTAGATAGATAGACAAAAAGATCGAGTGAAAGGACACCTGTAGATAGATAGACACATAGATAGAGTAATAGGACACCAGTAGATAGATTGATAGAACACCAGCTGATAGAGTGATAGGACACCAGCTGAGAGATAGAGTGATAGGACACCAGTAGATAGATAGACACATAGATAGAGTGAAAGGACACCAGTAGCCAGATAGACAAAAAGATCGAGTGAAAGGACACCTGTAGATAGATAGACACATAGATAGAGTAATAGGACACCAGTAGATAGATTGATAGAACACCAGCTGATAGAGTGATAGGACACCAGCTGAGAGATAGAGTGATAGGACACCAGTAGATAGATAGACACATAGATATAGTGATAGGACACCAATAGATAGATAGACACATAGATAGAGTGAAAGGACACCAGTAGATATATAGACACATAGATATAGTGATAGGACACCAGTAGACATCTGTAGAGAGAAATATAGGACTCTATGTAGGAGATAGTTAGATAAATATGACACAAGTAGATTGATCAATAGGACACCAATAGATAGGACACTAATAGATAGGTAGATAGGACACCCACCCTGGACTAACCAAAGTAAGCAGCATATGGTTTCATCTATTTGAAATCAACCGTGTGTTTATCTATAATTCAACAATATTTTAACTTACGGATTTTGTTTATTCCATACTTTTTCATCTAAAATGCATATGCCGACAAAAAAAGTATTTTAGAAAAAAGGCAAAAAATTATGTTAAATGGGCAAATTGTGATCAAAATTCAACGCTTTCTGGAATATTGACAGAACCGTTAAATCCACGTGCATAAGTAGATAGGTAGATACAAACAACAGATAGGTAGATAGGAAACCAATAGATAGTTAGATAGGAAACAAGTAGACAGGTAGATAGGACACCAATAGATATTTAGATAGGACACCAACAGATAGGTAGATAGGAAACCAATAGATAGGTAGATAGGACACAAGTAGAATGGTACATAGGACACAAATAGATAGGTAGATAGGACAGCATAGAAATCATGAAAAAAGAACAACTAAAAAACTCTATTTTTCCGAGAAACAGAAATCCTAGAATCTTCTTTGCAAGAGTTAGCTATTCAACAACAACGACTACAACAACCACCACAATGTCAACAGCAGCCTTCTGCTATAATACGTAAGTCAAAGTAATTGAGTCTTAAACTCATCCTTACTTCTTTGAAACCTGATGGCGTAAGCCTTTGATATTTCAAACTTATCTAATCAACAGAATTCAGTAATTCACGGCATTGGGTTGCAAAGATATAGGATTAGAAAATCAGATTTTGTGGGGAAATCAGTTAAGGGGGGGGGGGGCGTGGGGTTGATCCCTCCCCCAGCCGCCTGGTCATTCAAAAATAAGGTTTGAAAATATAAAGATGCAATTTTACACACACCAATTTAAAAAAGTCCATGCTACGATTAAAAAGATAATATAGATAAAATGGATTATAACACTGATGGTCCGCATATATATTATAACACTAATGGTCCGTATATATATATTATAACACTGATGGTCCGTATATACATTTTAACACTGATGGTCCACATATCTATTATAACACGGATGGTCCTATATCTATTATAACACTGATGGTCCGTATATATATTTTAACACTGATGGTCCGCACATCTATTATGACACTGATGGTCCGCATATATATATTTTAACACTGATGGTCCGTATATACATTTTAACACTGATGGTCCGCGTATCCATTATAACAAGAATGGTCCGTATATCTATTATAACACTGATGGTCCGTATATATATTTAACACTGATGGTCCGCACATCTATTATAACACTGATGGTCCACATATATATTATAACACTGATGGTCCGTATATATATTATAATACTGATGGTCCGTATATCTATTATAACACTGATGGTCCGTATATATATTTTAACACTGATGGTCCGCATATCTTTTATAACACTGATGGTCCACATATATATTATAACACTGATGGTCCGTATATCTGTTATAACACTGATGTTCCGCATATATATTATAACACTGATGGTCCGTATATATATTTTAACACTGATGGTCCGCATATCTATTATAACACTGATGGTCCGTATATATATTTTAACACTGATGGTCCGCATATCTATTATAACACTGATGGTCCGCATATATATTATAACACTAATGGTCCGTATATATATATTATAACACTGATGGTCCGTATATACATTTTAACACTGATGGTCCACATATCTATTATAACACGGATGGTCCTATATCTATTATAACACTGATGGTCCGTATATATATTTTAACACTGATGGTCCGCACATCTATTTTAACACTGATGGTCCACATATCTATTTTAACACTGATGGTCCGTATATATATTATAATACTGATGGTCCGTATATCTGTTATAACACTGCTGGTCCGTATATATATATATTTTAACACTGATGGTCCGCATATATATGATAACACGGATGGTCCGTATATCTATTATAACACTGATGGTCCGTATATCTATTATAACACTGATGGTCCCTCACCGGAAATGATAATGTAACATTTGCTTTGCCCCCTGGGTAACATACAGTAAGACCCATAAAACGGTGGAGTTGGAAGACGAAATTTAAGCAATCCTAATTGTGTATTTTATGTTTTCATAAAGAAAATAGTTTTCCAGTAGCTAGTACATTTCAAAATTGCTGTTTTTTATGTTTTTGGACTCTAAAATATAATAACCCAATTCAACCAGTCCTTTTCCATTTTTTACAGTGTATATGGGGTCCCATTGAAGGATGAGTAGCATTGGCATTCATTTTATAAAGATTCTTTATTAATAGCTTTCTTCAAAATTTATGCTAGACTATAAATCCCTCTTATTGTTATTTTTAGAGGGACTGTTACTCCCGTAGCAGCAATTTGTGGACGTAAGAAGAGATCTATCCTGACAGATCCGTTATCTGAGGACTGGGGGGAGATCATACCATCTAGTCAATTCAAATCTCCTCTCAGGTATAACCAGTTATAATCTCCATAAAGATTTCAGTTATAGTCTCCCATTTAATACCAGATAAAGTCTCCTATTAGATACCAGATATAGTATGCTATTAGATACCAGATATAGTCTCCCATTTAATACCAGATATAGTCTCCTATTAGATACCAGATATAGTTCCTATTAGATACTAGATATAGTCTACCATTTAATACCAGATATGGTCTCCTACTAGATACCAGATATGGTCTCCTATTTGATACTAGATATAGTATCCTATTAGATACTAGATATAGTCTACCAATTAATACCAGATATGGTCTCCTATTAGATACCAGATATAGTATTATATTAGATACTAGATATAGTCTCCCATTTAATACCAGATATAGGATGCCAGAGATAGTCTCCTATTAGATACCAGATATAGTCTCCTACTAGATACCAGATATAGTCTCCCATTAGATACCAGATATAGTCTCCCACTAGATACCAGATATTGTCTCCTACTAGATGCAAGATATAGTCTCCTACTAGATACCAGATATAGTACCCTACTAGATACCAGATATAGTCTCCTACTAGATGCAAGATATAGTCTCCCATTAGATACCAGATATAGTCTCCCACTAGATACCAGATATTGTCCTACTAGATGCAAGATATAGTCTCCTACTAGATACCAGATATAGTACCCTACTAGATACCAGATATAGTCTCCTACTAGATGCAAGATATAGTACCCTACTAGATACCAGATATAGTACCCTACTATATACCAGATATAGTCTCCTACTAGATGCAAGATATAGTCTCCTGCTATTTTTACTTTCAAAATTTCCCTTAATCAGATTTAAAATTAATTTCTTTTACTTGTTAAGTGAACTGGAGAGTGGAGATGCTATTGCAAAACCTTCTGCTCGAGATGCTCGTCTATTCTTGCTCCTAGCATCAACATCAACCATTAGTGTAACTGCCACAACAACAACAACAGCTTTTACAGGTTTATTATATACTAGCTTGGGAACCCAGTGTGGGCCAGGGGAGTCATAGTTAGTCCCACCGTTTACCCGCCCCTTGTCGTAAATTATAATTTTAGTTATTTTTCTCGTTTAAAGTTTACCCACTCAACTTAAAATCTCAAAACCAAATCAAGAAAATTCCCGTAGGTTTCCCGAGTTCCCCAATTAAAATTTGAGGCAAATCGGTCAAAGGGGTTCTCGAGTTATGACCTGACAAACAAACAAACAAAAATAGATTACAACTTTATATGGACAGAAGAAGAAACTAAAACAAACTTTATACATTTTTTTTTTGTCCAGGAACTTTAACAATATCTATTGGGTGTGTACCGCAGGGCATCTCCGCTTGTCCAACTGGATAAATCGTTTGTTATCGTTATTCTTCTTGTTATCATGATGCTTGACTGATGTGATTCTAACAGTGAGTAAAATAAATTGTTATGTAATGTTAAGATTGTCTTAATTATTCCTCCATATGGCCACGAAGATCGACTTCTACTGAATTTAGGTTACAGAGATAAATAAAAATGAAAACGCTTTATCCAACAATACAATCTGACAATACAATCCAACAAAACAATCCGACAATACAATCCGACAATACAATCCGACAATACAATCCGACAATATAATCCGACAATACAATCCGACAATACAATCAGACAATACAATCCGACAATACAATCCGACAATATAATCCGACAATACAATCCGACAATACAATAATAAAATCTACATCAATTAAGGATATTTAACAAATATTATTATCAATTACACCGCTCAGCATCAATTAATATCAATTCATATCAATAAACACTAATTAAAATCAATTATCATCAATTAACATCAATTGTCATCAATTAACATCTATTGTCATCAATTAACATCAATTAACATCAATTAACGCCAATTAACACCAATTAACATCAATTTACATTAAGTAATATCAGATAAGATGAATTAGTCCAAGAACTGTAAGACAGGCAAGGCAATATAATCACAAAAATTGTTAAAAATTGTTTTTAAATCATTGTTGCTCAATTAGGTTAGTGCAAAAAATCAGTTTCTTTTAAACTTCAGTAAACATTGATTTTTGTGATGTATTGGGTGTTTGACGAACACCCCTCCCCCAGTCTCAAGTTTATTGGGTGTTTACACCCCTCCCCCAGTCTCAAGTTTATTGGTGTGTTTACATCCCTCCCCCAGTCTCAAGTTTATTGGGTATTTACACCCCTCCCTCAGTCTCAAGTTTATTGGTGTGTTTACACCTCTCCCCCAGTCTCAAGTTTATTGGGTGTTTACACCTCTCCCCCAGTCTCAAGTTTATTGGGTGTTTACACCTCTCCCTCAGTCTAAAGTTTATTGGGTGTTTACACCTCTCCCCCAGTTTCAAGTTTATTGTGTGTTTACATCCCTCCCCCAGTCTCAAGTTTATTGGGTATTTACATCCCTCCCCTAGTCTCAAGTTTATTGGTGTGTTTACACCCCTCCCTAAGTCTCAAGCTTATTGGGTGTTTACACCTCTCCCCCAGTCTCAAGTTTATTGGGTGTTTACACCCCTCCCCCAGTCTCAAGCTTATTGGGTATTTACATCCCTCCCCTAGTCTCAAGTTTATTGGGTATTTACACCCCTCCCCCAGTCTCAAGTTTATTGGGTGTTTACACCCCCTCCCCCAGTCTCAAGTTTATTGGGTATTTACACCTCTCATTCATTCTCAAGTTTTTTTGGGTGTTTACACCTCTCCCCTAGTCTCAACTTTATTGTGTGTTTACACCTCTCCCCCAGTCTCAAGTTTATTGGGTATTTACACCTCTCCCCCTGTCTCAAGTTTATTGGGTGTTTACACCCCTCCCCCAGTCTCAAGTTTATTGGGGTGTTTACACCTCTCCCCCAGTCTCAAGTTTATTGTGTGTTTACACCTCTCCCCCAGTCTCTAGTTTATTGGGTGTTTACACCTCTCCCCCAGTCTCAAGTTTATAGGGGTAAATATTGTTTACACCCCTCCCTCAGTCTCAAGTTTAGGAAGAATATAGGTTTTTCAAACGACAATATGGTAATTCAAATTTTGTTTACTGATAATTTCTAAAATAAATTGTCACTTGCCAAAATTATCCAGTTACAACATCATAGTTACAAAATTATTAGTTACCAAAAATTATTTAAAGGGAGTGACTGGCTATGTAAAGTAGTTGAACTGAGAATGTAGTATTGCGGAGAAATTTTTTGGAATCATTTGAGACATATGATATTCTCAGTTCAATTACCATACATTGCCAGTCACTCCCTTTAAAAATCTTATTCTTGAAGTGAAGAGGAGAACAATAAAAATTGTTTTTTTAGTTCTTTAAACTTAAAGGGAGTGTCCGCGAAAAATGAAAAAGGGTATATGTAGACACCTTTCCGCTGTACCATTATTCAGGCCCGTAGGTAGTTCTTTTTCCCAGAAGGAGGGGGGGGGGCATGAGGGGACAGAACAGAAAGAAAAAAGAGAAAAATAAAAACAAAAAGTTAAAGAAAAAATGGATAACCAGAAGCAAGAAATCTCATTTCTTTTATTGAGTGTGGTTTCTGAAATAAATAATTCGGTAATTTGTATTTGTATATTTGTATATGAAAGGATAGGGTTTAGAATTCTTCTTATTTAACTATCTTAGAGCAAAAATTAACGATATGGAGACAAATTGAAATTATAGCTAGGTTTAAGAGAAGCTTTTAGTGTTCATGCAAACAGCTTCTCAATCCCTCGTAATTGACCAAAAACAAATTATACTTTCGTCCTTAGTCTAAGGTTGAACCGTCTAAATCTGATATACACAACTTAACAGTTTAAGAAATCTGTAAAGGAACTGAGTTTTTGCCACAAACTCAACTATTCTTATCCCTATATCTTGGCAACCCAATGTGGTAGACCTTAGATATTTCAAACTATTAATTCTGTTGATCAAATAATCTAAGTTTGAAATTTCAAAGGTTTATATTCACTGATTGCAGAGATATAGAAATAAGAAAATTTGAGGTTGTGGCAAAAACTCAATTCCTTTTTCATCCCATTTAAATTGTGTGTTTGGAAATAATCTTATCAAAGGGACAGTGCTCATAATTTCAAGGAAAAAACAATGCAAAGATTGCAATGCCCGATTCACAACGGTACCCTTGAAACCTTTGCCTGATCAATAATGTGGAAGAGAACGTCGTTGATTCAAAGTGTTTAGTTCTTTTAATGGTTTCCTGCAGCAGAAATGCGCATGTCACTTGTGTAGAGAACCCAAGTTGAGAATAGTCAGTTTTCAAAATTATAAACATTGATATCTATCTAGTTTATACATGATCGGACGAGTTTATGTGTACCGTTATGAATTGGACATTCTTTGCAATTTGAAGGTCACTTGAAATTACGCTGAGAGTCCTTTCCAAACCCTAAGAAAATCACAAACTAATCAGAGCAGAGTTTAAACATCATTCTTAACTTTAAAAGGCTGTACAATAGTTATTCGTTCGAGCCACATTCTTCTCATTTTCTCATCCGAGCCACTTCCAAAAGTTTCTCCTTGCAATATTCTTCTTATGAAGTGTTGAGCTCTACTTAAACAATTCAGCCACCTTTTTCTCTTTAAAATGGTCAAATCTAGAAAATTGTTACCATTAAAAAACGGCCGAGATTCGAGAAAAAGAGCAAAATTTGATAGTTTTTAATATAAGAAGATTAAAGTTTCGTGGTATTCTATTCTAAGAATGTCTGAAAATGCTCGTAAAAATAGTTTTTATTTATAGACATTGAACTTAAAAACTTTAATTCATCTGATCATTTTTTTCTTCGATTTACGACAATTCAATATTTCGTTTATGCCCTAACGTTGCCATATTTTGAAAAAAAATCTAACCTAATTAAGAATTTGACACTTTAAAAAGATAATATTGCAAGAACGAGGATTCGAATATTTTTCGTCTTATTTAAATATTGCACAGCTGATCATCCAGTAAAGGGACTGTAAGCGTTATTCAAGTGATCCTCCATGAAAAGATGGCAATGCCAAATTTACAACATTACCCTTAAAATCTTAATCTGATCAAACACGTGAAAGATACCGTCGTTTTTCTGACTAGAAAAGTCTTTATTTCTGTGAGTTTCTCCATTGCTTCTAATAAACAAGAAATGCGGAATCCATTTTCGCAGAGAAACCGCAAATGAAATAAACAGTTTGCATCACTTAAAATTACGTATAAAGAGCTTTAACGAGCTAGGGGAACCCTGTCAATGCAGGACACTTTCAGCGCTCAACATCCTAAAATGCCTATTTTTGGAGTTGCTTTAAAAATGTGTGGAGATGTAATATTTATATTTTGACAACCTCAGAACCTAAAACATGATTTAATTTTGTTAGATTTTCTTAAGATTATACTGATGATATATATATATATATATATATATATATATATATATACTTTGCTTGTCGGTCTGTTTCGTTGTTCAATAAACGTCAAAAAGGCTGAACTGATCGGGTCAAAATTTTGTATGTAACCTCACATGACCCTAGTGAAGTTTTGTGGATGCTCAGAATCACAAAAAATCGTCTCAAAATATATTTCAAAATGTCCAAAAAAAAATTATCAAATCCGCGAACTTTTTTATTTTTGTTTTATACAAAGAGAAAGATGCTCACATATAGAGCCAAAGTTGAAATAGAAGATTAGCGCAAAGCTCTTTACATATACTTTGCTTGTTTGTTTGTTTTTAACCGATAAATATCAAAACGGCTGAACCGATCGGGCACACAAATTTTGTGACCTTACTTGACCTCAGAGAATGCTCAGAATTACAAAACATTGTCTCCAAAAAGTTCAGATTTTCGTAAAGTTTTGAAAATCCACGAAAAAAATTTTAAATACGCAAAAAAAATAATACTGTTCTATCGAGGTGAAAATGCTAAATGGTTAAGCAACAATTAAAAGTTACAGTAGAAGATGGGCGCGAAGTGACTTGATATCCTTATAGTTTATAATATTTAACCGTTCAATAAAAAAAAAATAAAACATAAATTTAAAAAAAGTGAAGTCTACATATTCCGAAGTGTGTCAGAGACTGTGAAAGACTCCGCAAGTCATTAAGACAAACAAAATTCCACTTGTACATATACAGAGCTAAACTATAATTAGATATTCATAGTTCTTCATTTAAACAGTTTCTTCTCAACCTAGGCACAGGTAACATGCCTAAATACTATTAATTTTTAACTATTTTTACATTGTTTTCAGCTTATATATAAAAGACATGGCAATTAACAAACGATTTAAAATTCTTTGATTTCCGATAGATGATAAAGGACACCGAATGTATCAAATATAGATTTTACATCTTATGCGCTTTTAAAAATGTGGCCATGTGTTCTTGTATCTTCAAAATTAATGGAGATATCAAGCACTTGGAAAAATTAGTTTTTATATGTGATAAATTGGAATAGATCAGGTCGGAACTTTAGTGTGGAATATCGTAAATCTTGAACGCCTAATATCGATAAATTGGAATAGATCAGGTCGGAATTTTAGTGTGGAATATCGTAAATCTTGAACGCCTAATATCGATAAATTGGAATAGATCAGGTCGGAACTTTAGTGCGGAATATCTTAAATCTTTAACGCCTAATATCAATAAATTGGAATAGATCAGGTCGGAACTTTAGTGTGGAATATCGTAAATCTTGAACGCCTAATATCGATAAATTGGAATCAAAGGTCGGAACATTAGTCTGGAATATCGTAAATCTTGAACGCCTAATATCAATAAATTGGAATAGATCAGGTCGGCACTTTAGTGTGGAATATCGTAAATCTTGAACGCCTAATATCGTTAAATTGGAATCAAAGGTCGGAACTTTAGTGTGGAATATCGTAAATCTTGAACGCCTAATATCAATAAATTGGAAACGAAGGTCAGAACTTTATTGCGGAATATCGTAAATCTTGAACGCCTAATATCGATAAACCCCATATAGGCAGTTTTAAATATCCAGGGTTTCTTGCTATTAGGAAGGTATTTGGTTGAAAGTAAGACATGAGTTTTCTTGCAGGATGTTGAGTTTAAGATTGATCCTACTTCTTGCCGCTGTCCTTGGTACTGTTTCAGCAGAGAACATCAAGCAACAAAGGTATTTTGGTAACCAGCACAATGTGTCTTAATCATTTAACATTTTTATTCGCTGTTCAGTTCTAAGCTAAGTTTAATACAACTTCCTCCATAATACAGAAGCATAGCATATTACTTTTTCAGTAAGTAATGTCAAAATTTATTCCTTATATTTCTGAGTTTTTTATTTGAAGAAAACGCGAATTTACGGAGAATAGATAGTTTTGAAGTTAAATGATGTGAGTAAAAAAATGTAAAGCTGGAAAAATATAAATTGGTAAAAGTAGACATAAGAAAGGAATTAGTCTTTGCTACAAACTCCAATGTTTTAGTCCCTATATCTTTGCCACCTAATGGCGAAAAACTTGATATTTTTTAACTAAGATTATGTGATCAAACCGGGTTTATAGTTTGAAATATCTAATGAAATCAGAGTGTGTGGCAAAAACTCAATTGCTAAGTAGAAGAATGATTGAAGGTGGAAAAAGATGAGTTAAACGTTTGAAAAAGAAAAATGATCAAAGGAAGCCAATAAAAAACAATCAAAAGTCAAAGTAAGAAGAAAGAAATAATTGTTTTATATTTCAACCATGTCAAACAAGCAACAGAAATCGTGGATAACTTGATTGTTATCAGACTTACTCAAAAATTGAAGTTCGATAACACCCGCCATTTTTTGGCACATTTTGGGGTCGTTTTTCTGGACCTCTTTGTGCGTCCAGATTTTTTTGAAATCGGATTTTGACCCCTTGATTGAAGCCATTATCGAAGTCATGCCAATGAAGATAATTGGTTCACAAGAGGTAGAACTTTTGGGTCGATTTGGAATCTACATTACAAAGATATAGGTAGATAAGTATATAGGTATAGATAGGTTGATAGATAAATAGGTAGCTAGGATACCAGTAGATAGGTAGATAGGACACCAGTAGATATGTAGATAGGACACCAGTAGATAAGTTGATAGGAAATCAGAAGATAGGTAGATAGAACACCAGTAGATAGGTAGATAGGACACCAGAAGATAGGTAGGTAGGACACCATTAGATAGATAGATAGGACACCAGAAGATAGGTAGATAGGACATCAGTAGATAGATAGATAGGACACCAGTAGATAGATATATAGGACACCAGAAGATAGGTAGATAGGACATCAGTAGATAGGTAGATAGGACACCAGAAGATAGATAGATAGGACATCAGTAGATAGATAGATAGGACACCAGAATATAGGTAGATAGAACACCAGTAGATAGATAGGACACCAGAATATAGGTAGATAGAACACCAGTAGATAGATAGGACACCAGAATATAGGTAGATAGAACACCAGTAGATAGATAGGACACCAGAATATAGGTAGATAGAACACCAGTAGATAGATAGGACACCAGAATATAGGTAGATAGAACACCAGTAGATAGATAGGACACCAGAATATAGGTAGATAGAACACCAGTAGATAGATAGGNCACGTAAGATAAATATCATATTGCTATACCACGTAAGATAAATATCATATTGCTATACCGCGTAAGATAAATATCATATTGCTATACCACGTAAGATAAATATCATATTGCAGTGTTGATGTAATTGCATCTCTTTATCGCTGGTTTCAAATATTTTGACTAAGATGAATTCTACAAGTGAGAAGTCTAAACAAAATGTTAAATATTTATCTTCCTGACACACAGTTCATTTTTTTTATAAAGATTCTTTGTTAAAAGCTTTCTTCAAAATTTATGCTAGAATATAAACAGGAAACACTAAATCCCTCTTTTAAATTCATTTTCTTGCACCCTAAATTACGGTAATAATTTATTATGCTTATTACAATAAAAAGTTTTGATTCCTTTTTTCCTGTGTCTAGTGCAGCAACTGCAACAGCTTGCAGTGGACGTAAGAAGAGATCTATCCTGACAGATCCGATATCTGAGGACAGGGGGGAGATAATACCATCCAGTCAATTCAAATCTCCTCTCAGGTAGAACCAGTTATACAATATACAATGAACAATATACAATATACATCCCCTTTTTGGAACAGCCAGTTAAATATAATTCCTTTTAATGAGCCGTTACACATAATCCCTTTTCATAGTCAGTTATACATAATCCCTTTTTATAGTCAGTTATACACAATCCCTTTTTTATAGTCAGTTAGACAAAATCCCTTTTTATAGTCAGTTATACATAATCCCTTTTTAATAGTCAGTTATACATAATCCCTTTTTTATAGTCAGTTATACACAATCCCTTTTATATAGTCAGTTATACATAATCCCTTTTTATAATCATTTATGCATAATCCCTTTTTTATAGTCAGTTATACATATAATCTCTTTTTTATAGTTAGTTACACACAATCCTTTTTTATAGTCATTTATACATAATCCCTTTTTTATAGTCAGTTATACATAATCCCTTTTTATCGTCAGCTATACATAATCCCTTTTTATAGTCAGTTATACATAATCCCTTTTTTATAGTCAGTTATACATAATCCCTTTTTATAGTCAATTATACAAAATCCCTTTTTTTAAAGTCAGTAATACATAACCCTTTTTTATGGTCAGTTATACATAATCCCTTTTTTATAGTCAGTTATACATAATCCTTTTTTTTGGTCAGTTATACATAATCCCTTTTTTATTGTCAGTTATACATAATCCCTTTTTCATAGTCAGTTATACATAATCCCTTTTTATAGTCAGTTATACATAATCCCTTTTTTAGTCAGTTATGCATGATCCCTTTTTATAGTCAGTTATACATAATCCCTTTTTTTATAGTCAGTTATACATAATCCCTTTTTATAGTCAGTTATACAAAATCCCTTTTTATAGTCAGTTCTACATAATCCCTATTTTATAGTCAGTTATACATAATCCCTTTTTTATAGCCAGTTATACATAATCTCTTTTTTATTGTCAGTTATACATAATCCCTTTTTTATAGTCAGTTATACAAATCCCTTTCTTATAGTTATTTATACATAATCCCTTTTTTATAGTCAGTTATCCATAATCCCTTTTTTATAGTCCGTTATACATAATCCCTTTTTTATAGTCAGTTATACATAATTCCTTTTCTTTGCACATAATTCCCTTTTTAACAGACAAATATTGAATTTCCTTTCAATCAAATCTGATAAGTGATTATTACACTTCCACATTTAAATTATTATAGTTATATAACATTGTCAATCTAGCTTCCCCATTTAACTTTCATTTACTTCCCTGTCAAACTCTATTTATACTACCCTGTCAACCTCTTGATATACTTCCCTGTCAAACTCTATCTATACAACCCTGTCAACCTCTAAATATACTTCTCCGTCAAACTCTAGATATACTTCCCTGTCAACCTCTAAATATAATTCTCTGTCCACCTCTAGATATACTTCTCTGTCTAACTCTAGATGTACTTCCCTGTCTAACCCTTTATATACTTCCTTGTCTAACTCTAGATATCCTTCCCTGCCTAACCCTATATATGCTTCCCTGTCTAACCCTTTATATACTTCCCCGTCTAACTCTAGATATACTTCCTTGTCTAACCCTTTAAATACTTACTTGTCTAACGCTTTATATACTTCCTTGTCTAACTCTAGATATCCATCCCTGTCTAACCCTATATATACTTCCCTGCCTAACTCTAGATGTACTTCCCTGACAAACTCTAGATATACTTCCTTGTCTAACTCTAAATATCCATCCCTGTCTAACTCTAGATGTACTTCCCTGTCAAACTCTAGATATACATTCCTGTCTAACTCTAGATGTACTTCCCTGTCAAACTCTAGATATACTTCCCTGTCTAACCCTAGATATAATTCCTTGTCTAACTCTAGATATTCTTCCCTGTCTAACTCTAAATATACTTCCCTTTCTAACTCTAGATATACTTCCCTGTCTAACCCTAGATATACGTCCATGTCTAACCCTTTATATACTTCTCTGTCTAACTCTAGATATACTTCCCTGTCTAACCCTAGATAAACTTCCTTGTCTAACTCTAGATATACTTCCCTATCTAACTCTAGATATACATTCCTGTCTAACTCTAGATGTACTTCCCCTGTCAAACTCTAGATATACTTCCATGTCTAACCCTAGATATACTTCCCTTTCTAACTCTAGATATACTTCCCTGTCTAACCCTTTATATACTTCCCTGTCTAACTTTAGATATACTTCCTTGTCTAACACTTTATATACTTCCTTGTCTAACTATAGATATCCATCCCTGTCTAACTCTAGATGTACTTCCTTGTCTAACTCTAGATATACTTCCCTGTCTAACCCTTTATATACTTCCCTGTCTAACTCTAGATATACTTCGTTGTCTAACACTTTATATACTTCCTTGTCTAACTCTAGATATCCATCCCTGTCTAACTCTAGATGTACTTCCCTGTCTAACCCTTTATATAATTCCCTATCTAACTCTAGATATACTTGCCTGTCTAACCCTATATATACTTCCCTTTCTAACTCTAGATATACTTCCATGTCTAACTCTAGATATACTTCTCTGTCTAATTCTAGATATACTTCACTGTCAAACACTAGATATACTTCCCTGTCTAACTCTAGATATACTTCCTTGTCTAACTCTAGATATACTTCCCTGTCTAACTCTAGATGTACTTCCCTGTCAAACTCTAGATATACATTCCTGTCTAACTCTAGATATACTTACCTGTCAAACTCTAGATATACTTCCCTGTCTAACCCTAGATATACTTCCTTGTCTAACTCTAGATATACCTCCCTGTCTAACTCTAAATATACTTCCCTTTCTAACTCTAGATATACTTCCCTGTCTAACCCTAGATATACGTCCATGTCTAACCCTTTATATACTTCTCTGTCTAACTCTAGATATACTTCCCTGTCTAATCCTAGATAAACTTCCCTGTCTAAAACTAGATATCTTACCTGTCTAACCCTATATATACTTCCCTGTCTAACTCTAGATATCCATCCCTGTCTAACTCTAGATGTACTTCCCTGTCAAACTCTAGATATGCATCCCTGTCTAACTCTAGATGTACTTCCCTGTCAAACTCTAGATATACTTCCCTGTCAAACTCTAGATATACTTCCCTTTCTAACTCTAGATATGCTTCCCTGTCTAACCCTAGATATACTTCCATGTCTAAACCTTTATATACTTCTCTGTCTAACTCTAGATATACTTCCCTGTCTAATCCTAGATAAACTTCCCTGTCTAACACTAGATATACTTCCCTGTCTAACTCTAGATGTACTTTCTTGTCTAACTCTAGATGTACTTCCCTGTCAAACTCTAGATATACTTCCTTGTCTAACTCTAGATATCCATCCCTGTCTAACTCTAGATGTGCTTCTTTTCAAATTCTAGATATACATCCCTGTCTAACTCTACATGTACTTCCCTGTCAAACTCTAGATATACTTCCCTGTTTAACCCTAGATATACTTCCCTGTCTAACTCTAGATATACTTCCTTGTCAAACTCTAGATATACTTCCCTGTCTAACCCTATATATACTTCCCTGTCTAACCCTATATATTCTTCCCTGTCTAACCCTATATATACTTCCCTTTCTAACTCAAGATATACTTCCCTGTCTAACTCTAGATATACTTCCCTGTCTAACCCTAGATATACTTCCCTGTCAAACTCTAGATATACTTCCCTGTCTAACTTTAGATGTACTTCCTTGTCTAACTCTAGATATACATCCTTGTCTAACTCTAGATGTACTTCCCTGTCTAACTCTAGATGTACATCCCTGTCTAACTCTAGATGTACTTCCCTGTCAAACTCTAGATATACTTCCCTGTCTAACTCTAGATATACTTCCCTGTCTAACCCTATATATACTTCCCTGTCTAACCCTAGATATTCTTCCTTGTCTAACACTTTATATACTTCCCTGTATATCTCTAGATATACTTTCCTGTCTAATCCTAGATAAACTTCCCTTTCTAACACTAGATTTCTTCCCTGTCTTACCCTATATATACTTCCCTGTCTAACACTAGATATACTTCCTTGTCTAACCCTATATATACTTCCCTGTCTAACACTAGATATACTTCCTTGTCTAGCCCTATATATACTTCCCTGTCTAAAACTAGATTTACCTCCTTGTCTAACCCTATATATACTTTCCTGTCTAACACTAGATATACTTCCTTGTCTAACCCTATATATTCTTCCATGTCTAACTCTAGATATACCTCCTTGTCTAACCCTATATATACTTCCCTGTCTAACACTAGATTTACTTCTTTGTCTAACTCTAGATATACTTCCCTGTCTAACACTAGATTTGTCTCCTTGTCTAACCCTATATATACTTCCCTGTCTAACTCTAGATATACATCCCTGTCTAACACTAGATTTACCTCCTTGTCTAACCCTATATATACTTCCTTGTCTAACACTAGATATATTTCCCTGTCTAACTCTAAATATACTTCCCTTTCTAACTCTAGATATACTTCCCTGTTTAACTCTAAATATACTTCTCTGTCAATCACTATATATACTTCCCTGTCTAACTCTAAATATACTTCTCTGTATAACTCTAGATATACTTCCTTGTCTAACTCTAGATATACTTCCCTGTCAAACTCTAGATGTACTTCCCTGTCTAACTCTAGATTTACTTCCCTGTCTAACTCTAGATATACTTCCCTGTCTAACTCTAGATATAATTCCCTGTCTAACACTAGATATACTTCCCTTTCTAACTCAAGATATACTTCCCTGTCTAACCCTAGATGTACTTCCTTTTCTAACTCTAGATATGCTTCCTTGTCTAATTCTAGATATCCATCCCTTTCAAACTCTAGATTTACTTTCCTGTCTTACCCTAGATATAGTTCCTTGTCTAACTCTAGATATACTTCCCTGTCTAACATTAGATATACCCCCTTGTCTAACCCTTTATATACTTCTCCGTCTAACTCTAGATTTACTTCCCTGTCTAACTCTAGTTATACTTCCCTGTCTAAATCTAGATATACTTCCCTGTCTAACACTATAGATACTTGCTTGTCTAACCCTTTATATACTTTCCTGTCTAACCCTAGATATACTTCCCTGTCTAACTCTAGATATACTTCCCTGTCTAACTCTAGATATACTTCCCTATCAAACCCTTTATATACTTCCTTGTCTAACCCTTTATATACTTTCCTGTCTGACCCTAGATATACTTCCCTGTCTAACTCTTGATATTCTTCCCTGTCTAACTCTAGATATACTTCCTTGTCTAACCCTTTATATACTTCCCTGTCTAACCCTATATATACTTCCTTGTCTAACTCTAGATATACTTCCCTGTCTAACCCTATATATAATTCCCTGTCTAACTCTAGATATACCTCCTTGTCTAACTAAATTCCGTTTTCTGACTAACCTGTTCTATTCTAGTGAAGTTGAGAGTGGTAAAACTGAGAAACATTATACTGGCCGAGATGCTCGTTTATTCTTACTTTCTACATCAACATCAACTATCATCGTAACATCAACAAGTACAACGACATCATTCACAGGTTATTATAAAAACATTGGAAACATTTTTGAAAGAATACTTTTGTAAGAAATTGTTGTTTAGGAACTACCACTTTAAGTGTTCTATGCATACCTACCTTCTCCGCTTGTGGATAAATCGTTTGTTATCGTTATTCTTCTGGTTATCATGATGCTTGACTGATGTGATTCTAACAGTAAGTTTAATTAATTTGTTATTGTTTTATTTGATCAAAAATTAACTATTAAACCATATAAATCATCAAAAAGAAACTTTTTAACACGTTTTTCAGCCTGGACTTCTTTATTTCTAGTCAATTAATGAAAATGTTTATGTTAGTATTTTCAAAATTACTAAAACAGCAAGAAATTGAGTTTTTGCCACAATCTCTGATTTTCTAATTCTTATATGTTTGCAACACAATGTCGTAGACTATGGATATTTCAAACTATGAATTCTGTTGTATCAAATAATCAAAGTTTGAAATATCAAGGGTTTACATCAGCAGGTTGCAAAGATATAGGGTTTAGACATTTTGAGTTTGTAGCAAAGACTCAATTTGTTTGGGTATAAAGAGAACTGAATATAGAAATATGGTGTTGCTAAATCATTTTTAAATTTAAACCTTCTTGATTTTCATGTTACCTACTGTCATGCTAAACTAATTGATTTTGTTTAGGAGATGTTAAAACGTTAGCTGTTGCTGAATTATTAGATTATTTGTTTATTTCATAAATTATTTGTTCTTATTAATCGTGTTATTATGTTTCAATGACTGATGTGATTCTAACAGTGAGTTTAATATATTGTTATTGTTTTTTTCTTCGGATTTTGAAAGTTTATCTTTTTTCCTAATATAATGCACAGTGAATTATAAATAAAAATTGTGTACGCTCATTCACAAGTAGATTATTTAGTTTTCATGTGAATAAAGAACTTTAAGATTGAATTATTTTATTAAAAATAACAAGAAATAACTTATTTATAATAAAAGAACGTTAAAAAGTTTTAAAAAACCTCAGTGTTTAAGAACAATATTTTGTTAAAATTGGCAAGGCAACATATAAAGAAATAAAATTGAGATAATTCTATGTGAAGGTACCTTAAACTAAGATGTGAAGGACATAATATTTGATATAAAACCGCAAGTCACCGAATTAATTAAATTTCTACTTATATGTAGCAGTTTATAGCTGCAGTGTATCCTTAGCTCACCTTCAGGTAACATGTGTAACATGCGCACAAAATATCCTCCAACATTTTTTTCAATAAAATTTTAAAGTTTTACAACCCCAGAGAGGAGAATGATAATAATATTAGATTTAGCAAATAAGACCTCTGTTTAGCCGGAATGGGGACATTTTATTCAAATCTGAATAATCGTTCTGTTCCATATCAAGATTTGGACTTTTTTGGTGAAGTCACATAAAAACCTGAAAATTATAGAGTCCAAAATGGGTTTTTTAGGTCCACGGATAAAATTCTTTTTTGTGATAATTTATAAAATTTGTCAATAAAATTTCATAATATAGAATAGAACAGAACAAAATAGTATAGAATTTAACAGAATTGAAAATAAGATTGAATAGAATGAAAAGAATAATAGACTAGAATTAAAACACTAAAAATAAATTAGAAAAGAATCTAATAGAAAAAAATAGCATAGAAAATTAAGAATATAATAGATTAAAATAGAATAAATTAGAATAGAATAATAGAAAAGAGTAGAATAGAATTAAGTAGAAATGAACAGAATAGAATTTGAACAAAATAAAATTGAAAAAAATCGTAATAGTGAAACAGAACAAAGTGTAGATACATCGAAAACCCATCATAGCCTTATAGGACAAGCCAGGCGCATGCTGCGAAATAAGACAAGCCATGCGAATACAGCGAAATAGGACAAGCCATGCGGATATAGCGAAATAGGACAAGCCATGCGGATACAGCAAAATAGGACAAGCCATGCGGATACAGCGAAATAGGACAAGCCAGGCGGATATAGCGAAATAGGACAAGCCAGGCGGATATAGCGAAATAGGAAAAGCCAAGCGGATATGGCGAAATAGGACAAGCCATGCGGATACAGCGAAATAGGACAAGGTAGGTGGATATAGGGAAATAGGACAAGCCAGGCGATACGGCGAAATAGGACAAGCCAGGCGGATATAGCGAAATAGGACAATCCAGGCGGATACATAGGATCATAGGACAAGCCAGGCGTATGCGGCGAAATAGGACAATCCAGGCGGATACGGCGAAAAAAAACTTTAATAAATTCATACTTTTAATAAAACGTTGAAATACAACCAATCGGGGGTCGAAATTTATGATATTTTGTAACAGTCAGAAAATAACTTTTTTCATCACAAATAATATTTTTTTTAAACTTCACCAATGAAAACACAAGCCTCCTATAAGCCTCCTAAAATCCTCCTCAAAGCTTCAAAAAACCCTCATCAAAGGCTCATCAAAGTCTCATAGAAGAGGACAGAATAGAAAAGAAAAGAATAGAAATGAAAATAAAAAGCCAATTAAACATAATCCCCTTTCTAAAGCCAGTTAATTATAATCCCCATTAAACAAACTGTTAAACAAAACACGCTTTCTACAGCCAGTAAAACATAATCCCCTTTCTACAGCCAGTAAAGCATAATCATCTTTGCAGCTAGTTGAACATAATCTTCTTTCTACAACCAGTTAAACATAATCCTCTTTCTACAGCCAGTTTAACATAATCTCCTTTCTACAGCCAGTTTAACATAATCTTCTTTCTACAGCCAGTTAAGCATAATCATCTTTGCAGCTAGTTGAACATAATCCACTTTCTACAACCAGTTTAACATAATTCACTTTCTACTGCCAGTTAAGTTAAATCCCCTTTCTACAACCAAGTAAGCAAAATCCTCGTTCTACAACTAGTTAGACAAAATCTACTTTCTACAGCCAGTTAAACACAATCCTCTTTACAGCTAGTGAAATATAATCCCCGTTCTACAGCCAGTTTAACATAATTACTTTTATTTTTACAAGATTAGTTTCACCACCAGTTTTACATAATTCCATTTTATTTTCCTCTAACGATAAAAATGAAGCTCAAAATATTTCATACTAAAATTCTTTCAATGTTAGATATTTCAAGAATTTACTCATTTTTGTGGACGAGTAGGTAGGATCCTGGACGAGTGGACGAGTAGGTAGGATCTGGATGAGTGGACGAGTAGGTAGGATCCTGGACGAGTGGACGAGTAGGTAGGATCCTGGACGAGTGGACGAGTAGGTAGGATCCTGGACGAGTGGACGAGTAGGTAGGATGGCAGGAAAACGTATATAAACATGATACTATAACGAACTATTACTTAGCTCAATCAAACTAATAACAACAACAAACATTGTCATATTTAACAAGAAGAGAGAAAAAGATTCAAATGTTTGTATTAAGAAATATCCCATTTTTAATACTGCAAAAAAATGTATATCAGAATATTCATAAATTCAAGGTTTAAAATTTGGGTGAAGAAAGTGACATAAGTTAGGTTGGAATTTTAATTTAGACGCTACTTATCTAGTGTTAAAACAACAAAGACACAGTAATGAACCCCTTTCATTTATCAATAAGATATGCATTAGAAGCAGATTTAAAAATATTTTTAGATTCGGACTGTTTAATTTCAACAGGAAAATTATTCCAAGCGGAAGGAAAGAAACAAGAGGAATCTTGTAACATATTTAGATTTGTCTCTGGGTTCAAAATAATCAATATTATTCCTAAATCCTGGATTCAACCCTCGTTAAGAGTTTTGTAAAAAGTAATCCTAGAATGGATTAAGCAATGTATATTTCTATCATAAGAAAACATATAAATGTTCCCTATAGCCGGCCAAACAGCTGGACCTAACGGGTTGACATTTTTCGTGGACACTACCACCACCATGTTTGAACGGAAATTTCCGACAAAATACAATTTAGTTAGTTTGCTGAACACAACTTTTTCTTCCGCAGGATGTCGAGTTTAAGATTGATCCTGCTTCTTGCAGCTGTACTTGGTACTGTTTCAGCAGAGAATATCCAGCATTCAAGGTATTTTGTATATCCGTATTTATAGATAGATAGGACACCAGTAGATAGATAGATAGGAAACCAGTAGATAGATAGATAGGAAATCAGTAGATAGATAGATAGGAAACCAGTGGATAGATAGATAGGAAACTAGTAGATAGATAGATAGGAAACTAGTAGATAGATAGATAGGAAACTAGTAGATAGATAGATAGGAAACTAGTAGACAGATAGATAGGAAACTAGTAGACAGATAGATAGGAAACTAGTAGATAGATAGATAGGAAAATAGTAGATAGATAGATAGGAAACTAGTAGACAGATAGATAAGAAAATAGTAGATAGATAGATAGGAAACTAGTAGATAGATAGATAGGAAACTAGTAGACAGATAGATAGGACACCAGTGGATAGATAGATAGGACACCAGTAGATAGGTAGATATGACATCAGTAGATAGGTAGATAGGGCACCATTAAATGGGTAGCTATGGCACTACTAGATAGGTAGATAGGACACCAGTAGATAGGTAGATAGGACACACATAGATAGGTAGATAGGACACCAGTAGATAGGTATATATGACACCAGTAGATAGGTAGATAGGACACCAGTAGATAGGTAGATAAGACACCAGTAGATAGGTTGATAGGATACCAGTATATAGGTAGATAGGAAATCAGGAGATCTGTAGATAGGAAATCTGTAGATAGGTAGATAGGATACCAATAGACAGATAGATATGACACCATTAAATAGGTAGATAGGATACCAGTAGATAGGTAGATAGGTTCTCAGTAGATAAATGAATAGGATACTAATGGGTAGGTAGATAGGGCAATATTAGATATGTAGATAGGTCACCTGTAGATAGGAAGGCAGGACGTCAGTAAATAGGTAGATAGGGCACCAGTAGATATGTAGATCAAACACCAGTAGATAAATCAATAGAATACCAATGGTAGGCACCATTAGATGGGTAGATAGGGAACTATTAGACAGGTAGATAGGGCACTATTAGACAGGTAGATAGAGAACTATTGGACAGGTAGATAGGGCACTATTAGATCTAGTTAGAAAACCTAGCTAGAAAAAGATCATCGCTGAAAACTATTCTAATTTAAAATCATGTTTTTCAGGAATAGAAACCCCAGACTATTCTTCGCTAGTATCAGTTCTTCAACAACAACAACAACAGTAACAACTGCCTTTAGAACAGCAACATTTTGCTATACCGCGTAAGATAAATATTTTACCGAGCTGGTATTTAATTGTATGTGTATCTTTTTTATCGCTAGTGACAAAAAATATGAACATAAAGAACTCTACAAGTGAGAAGTCTAAAAGTTTTAAATTCATTTTCTTATACCCCAAGCCAAAATTACGTTAATAATTTATTATTGATTATCTACAAATGCTTAATACAATGGAGACCATTTTGCGGGGCTCATGGCGGTCATGCACCCCCTCCCTCACTGGAAAGCGTTGAGGAAATGATAATGAAACATTTGCTTTGCCCCCTGGGTAACATACAGTAAGACCCATAAAACGGTGGAATTGGAAGACGAAATTTAAGCAATCCTAAGTGTATTTTATGTTTTCATAAAGAAAATAATTTTCCAGTAGCTAGTACATTTCAAAATTGCTGTTTTTTATGTTTTTGGACTGTAAAAATAATAACTCAAGTCGACCAGTCGTTTTCCATTTTCTACAGTGTATATGGGGTCCCATTGAAGGATTGAGTAGCATTGGCATTCATTTTATAAAGATTCTTTATTAAAAGCTTTCTTCAAAATTTATGCTAGAATATAAACAGGAAACACTAAATCCCTATTTTAAATTAATTTTCTTGCACCCTAAATTACGGTAATAATTTATTATGCTTATTACAATAAAAAGTTTTGATTTCTTTTTTTTTCCTGTGTCTAGTGCAGCAACTGCAACAGCTTGCAGTGGACGTAAGAAGAGATCTATCCTGACAGATCCGATATCTGAGGACAGGGGGGAGATTATACCATCCACTCAATTCAAAACTCCTCTCAGGTATAACTATAAATGTTCTATTCTAACCAAACTTACATATAATTCCATTTCTACAGCACTGCAAACCAAGAAGTGCACGCTCTCACACAAATATTCAGCAGTATTTTGCTAAATACTTCTTTCAAACTTAAACTAAAAGCAAGTGCGATGCAAATGTGTATCTCTGAGCTACAAAAAGTATCTTTGAGTTGGTGAGGTAAAATCAAGGGCTAGGACGTTGCGACATTTTTAAGTCGAGGCTTTCTAGAAATTTGATGACTAAGCTTCAGAGTTGTCTAATGTCTATTTCTTGAGTTAACATAATCCAGTTTCTAAAGCAAGTTTAACATAATCCTCTTTCTACAACCAGTTAAACATAATACCCTTTCTACAGCCAGTTTAACACAATCTCCTTTCTACATCCAGTTTAACATAATCCCCTTTCTACAGCCAGTTTAACATAATCTTCTTTCTACAGCCAGTTTAACATAATCTTCTTTCTCCAGCCAGTTTAACAAAATCCTCTTTCTACAACCAGTTAAACATAATCTCCTTTCTACATGCCAGTTAAACATAATCCTCTTTCTACAGCCAGTTTAACATAATCTCCTTTCTACAGCCAGTTTAACATAATCTCCTTTCTACAGCCAGTTTAACATAATCTTCTTTCTCCAGCCAGTTTAACAAAATCCTCTTTCTACAGCCAGTTTAACATAATATTCTTTCTACAGCCAGTTTAACATAATCCCCTTTCTACAACCAGTTTAACATAATCTCCTTTCTACAGCCAGTTTAACATAATCCTCTTTCTACAGCCAGTTTAACATAATCCTCTTTCTACAGCCAGTTTAACATAATCCTCTTTCTACAACCAGTTAAACATAATCTCCTTTCTACAGCCAGTTTAACACAATCTCCTTTCTACAGCCAGTTTAGCATAATCTCATTTCTACAGCCAGTTTAACATAATACCCTTTCTACAGGCAGTTTACCATAATCCTTTTTCTACAACCAAATTAACATAATCTTCTTTCTACAACCAGTTTAACATATTCTCCTTTCTACAACCAGTTAAACATAATCCACTTTCTACAGCCAGTTTAACATAATCCACTTTCTACAGCCAGTTTAACATAATCCACTTTCTACAGCCAGTTAAACATAATCTCCTTTGTACAGCCAGTTTAACATAATTCTCTTTCTACAGCCAGTTTAATATAATCCTCTTTCTACAGCCAGTTTAACATAATCCTCTTTCTACAACCAGTTAAACATAATCTCCTTTCTACAGCCAGTTTAACACAATATCCTTTCTACAGCCAGTTTAGCATAATCTCATTTCTACAGCCAGTTTAACATAATCCTTTTTCTACAACCAGTTTAATATAATCTCCTTTCTACAACCAGTTAAACATAATCCACTTTCTACAGCCAGTTTAACATAATCCACTTTCTACAGCCAGTTAAACATAATCTGCTTTCTACAGCCAGTTAAACACAATCCACTTTCCGCAACCAGTTAAACATAATGTCCTTTCTACAGCCAGTTAAACATAATCCTCTTTCTACAACCAGTTAAACATAATCTCCTTTCTACAGACAGTTAAACATAATCTTCTTTCTACTACCAGTTAAACATAATCTCCATTCTACAGCCAGTTTAACTTAATCTTCTTTCTACAGCCAGTTAAACATAATCCTCATACTACAGACAGTTAAACATAATCTCCTTTCTACAGCAAGTTAAACATAATCTCCTTTCTACAGCTAGTTTAACATAATCTTCTTTCTACAGCCAGTTCAACATAATACCCTTTCTACAGCCAGTTAAACATAATTTCCTTTCTACAGCCAGTTTAACATGATCTTCTTTCTACAGCCAGTTTAACATAATCCCCTTTCTACAGCCAGTTAAACATAATCTCTTTTCTACAGCCAGTTAAACATAATCTTCTTTATACAGCCAGCCAGTTTACCAT